TTTCAACCAGACAATAAAGCATTACATCCCCTGATCTAACTGACAAAAGTTGTTTTTTTTTAATCATCTTATGGTTACTATCATACAAATTTCAGCTGATTATTACAAAAATAATAATAAATTAAAATATCCAGTTGGATATACAATAAAAAACAATCACAAAATAGTATATTGGGTCTTTTAGTTTTTACAGGATGTGACCAAAGTCATATTGCAGATAATTATTGAAGAAACAAATAGTACAACTATAATGGATCTAATAACAAAGCTCACTAAACTAAGTAGTGACTATCTCCACTCTTAATGCAAATTGGGCTACAACATTAATTGAAAAGTTAGAAAGCATGACAAAATAAATAATTTTGATAATTTTAATTTTTTTGATTCATAAAGAAAGAAATAAGACAACACGGTTTCAGAACTGTATACATACTGTGTAAAAATACATATTCATAAGCAAAATATATGTACAGTACATAACACCGGGTTATTTCATTTAAAATTAAATTTTATTTAAATCAAAAATATAATTGTCCATATTTATTGGAATTCAATAGAAGAAAATTAAAATTTTAAATCATTTTAATTTTCTTCTATTGAATTCCAAACTTTTGTCATCTTTTATAACTCTGAATTGATATTGTTGTCTAGAAGCTGAGATAGTCACCACTTCCTTTTGACATAAAAAGAAGGTCTAGATCAGTGTTTTTCAACCTTTTTTTATCTCATGGCACACTTAAATTATAATGATTAAAAACAAGAGTAAAAAAAAGATTGTATTTTTCACAATTTATTAGGTAACCAAAAAAGTTCTGTCATTTTTTGTGAAACTACAAAGTTTAAAGAATGTTACACGCAATACACAATAGATGACACTAAAATTCCAGCAATATGTTAATCAAGATTTAATGCTGACTCACCTTATATAAAAAGAAGTGGAAAGGTTATCTCTTAATATTATAAAAATTGACTTGAAGATGAGTACTCCAAACTCTGTAATTCGTGCTTGTATGTTGTATGAGTTTAAACTTGGAACAAGTGCTGTGCAAATGGCTCAAAAAATATGNTCAAAATGTATCTATTATAAATGTATAACACTTCCCCCATGGGAGGAAACTTTTTGAAAAATCCCTTCTTAGTGTACATTCTCTTGACATACCCTATTAAAACACAATCAAAATGCAAAAAACTGCATCTAAAATAGTATAAATAGAAGCAGAGTTTGTTACAGTAAGCCTTAATCCTGTCCATCTCCCCCCTCAGTGGGGGGAATTTCAACATGTGTATTATATAAAAACATGTGCATATTCAAATGCAACATTGTGTAAAAGTTTCAAAGGAATTAATAGGAACAAATGAGCATTACATTTTTATTTATACAGATAGATAGAAGATGATCTGCTTTACTTCATCCTCACAGAAAAGCAAACTTAGATTGTCGTATTCGTGGGAGTTAGCATCATCTATTGGACATAAAAGCCTTAATCCTAGATGATATCTTTTAATTTATATGAATGTTTAACGAAATAATATACATCCTATGTCCACCCTGAAGTTCCATTCTAAATATTGGTGAAAGAATTTTTGAAATCAAATGAGTATTTTTGGAGATTACCTCCTACATTCAAACTTACAAACTTTACCTCTTTATAATATTAGTATAGATATATTTTTGTGACAAAACTTTAAATTGTAAAAAATAATTTTTTTAATTCTTGATATTTTATAATGAATAATTAAAAATAGCATAAAAAATGTACATAAATTAAAAATGATAAGGTTAAATTATAGAAAAATGTTGCATATGAGTATCAAACCTACCCAAAATCAAAAGTTCTGCATGTGACACCGTAAGTAATCATGCTATGCCATGAATTCATGAATCAGTCTTCCATATAGATATTAATGGTTGTATAAAACTTTTATCACAATTTTCTCGAGAATACCAGAATAGTGGATCATGTAGCTTTGGTAGAGTTTAAGTAGAAGTAAATACAATACATCCATAAAATTTCATCAAAATTGGCATTTACAAATTGCCAGTACTAAAATAAGAATCAAAGCTTCTTTTAAAACACTTTTATTAAGAAGCTGAGTTTGATATTTTATTAAGTGTTTTTAATTTGCATTTAAAAGTGGCATGATAATTGCTTTTAGAATCCTGCCTAATATCCCACTATTTCTAAGTTAAAATAATTTGATTTAAATATGGACAATTATAGATACATTTTTTATTTAAAGAAACTTTTAGTTTTAAATGAAATAACTTGGTGTTATGTACTGTACATATATTTTGCTTATGAATATGTATTTTTACACAGTATGTATACATTTATTTATTATGACATTGAAAAACTCCTATAATCAATTTAATAAGGTTTCAATTTTGACATGTATACTTATTGTTCTTTGGGCTTCTTTCAAAAATAATTCATTTAATAACCTTAAAAAAATTTTGTGGCACACCTATGATCCTCTCATGGCACACTGGTTGAAAATCACTGGACTAGATAATTGTACATTGTTTAGTACAGTCCTGACTTATAATTTTCATAAGATCCATGATGGTTATATTAAATTTATATATTTCTGCAATCAGCTGGGGAATGATTTTTGTCATCATCTTGTATAAAAATTAAATACAGAAAAAATGTTATAAAAATAAGAAGTTCTTGTCTTTTTATGTTACTAAAATTTAACTGAACTATATAATAAAATTATTATCTAAGCTATAAATTTCTCTGAGAACTTAAAGGGATTTTCATATATAGCCATACCCCAGCATACAAACTTCCTATATATGAATTCCAACTATAAAAATGATACTCTTTAGTACCTATTGCAATATTCAAATCAAATAATTTCAGTTTTATGAATTTATTTGAATTACATTTGTGAAAAATTTGAAAGTTGCACTAATAAAAGTGGAAATAGGATGGAAATTCATTTCCAACATTTGTTTTTTGTTTCATTGACAATACAAAGTTTCAATGCAATTTCACAAGATTTTTTTAAACAATTTATTACAGTAGATGTAATTATATCATTTGTTTATATTTACTGTTGTTCTGTTTTTATATAATAATATTTTAATGCAAAATATGCACAGTATCATTAAGTCATTTTCATTGCTGTCTATTGCTAATTAAATAATTACAGTTTATATACAATTCCTAAATAAAGGATACCTTTATTTTTTATGTTACTGCTTACAAACAGTGGGCTGCCAAACAGAAAGCCAGAAATTTTCTGGTGGGCCATTCCCATAATATAGGCTCATTTATATAATATGGGCCATATTTTGTATATATTACTGGGCCAAATTTGTTGCTAGTCTGACACTACTTACAAATATAGTTAATTGGTTTGTTAAATGCTGCAAATACTTGCATTATTATAAAAAATTGTTTTATAATTTTTATGATATCTTATAGGTAGAGAGAAGAAATGAGGAGGGTTAATGTGGGAAAGGTATCTCTAGTCCCAAAATGGTGGATTGTGACAATGTAGTATTCATTGGTATCATAAAAATGGGAATAATAAGACGCTTGGCTCTCTTTCTTTTCATCGGAGCTTTGTACTGCCATCAGGACTGTTACAACCTGGTGATTTTACTTATGCTTCCTCTCATTGAAAGTAACATCCTTTATTCTTCTACACACAAAAAAGAAAGAGATGTCCCATATTCTCTTGTCTACCTGTATATATCAATTTTTTTCCACCTCCTCTGTTAGGTTTATTGACCCTCTAAGCAACATATCATCAAGACAAAAGAGAATGACAGAACATTGTAGAAATATATATAAACAATTAACTGTAATTAAATGTATTTACATAAAATTCATTGCAGTCAACTATCACATTACTTTATTGAAAGTCTTACAGCTGTTGCTATAAGTCTAAGTATTTTCAAGCCTTTTGGTTTACTTCAACAAACACTGCATAGAATACTGTCTAGTTTTAAAACTAAATCTTTTGTCAAACACTTTCTTGTGTGGAATTAATAAATATTTTATCAAATATGTTTATTTCAACCAGACAATAAAGCATTACATCCCCTGATCTAACTGACAAAAGTTGTTTTTTTTTAATCATCTTATGGTTACTATCATACAAATTTCAGCTGATTATTACAAAAATAATAATAAATTAAAATATCCAGTTGGATATACAATAAAAAACAATCACAAAATAGTATATTGGGTCTTTTAGTTTTTACAGGATGTGACCAAAGTCATATTGCAGATAATTATTGAAGAAACAAATNAAATATTTAACAGATGAAATTATAATTTCTGACTAAGTTTTTAAGTATATACATGTACTTTTTTTAAATTTTAAATAATACAATAACTTACAGGCATGTATCCAGTGAAACACATCCAACCAAATCATAATCATAGAAAAAACATTCCGTCACAACAGACCAAACATCATCCATTGAAAAACAAAACAAAATCATACATATCATAGACATATCTGTATATAAAATATCAATGCATATGCTGAAAAAATTAGTACTGTAAATATTCAGAACTCGTCCATGAAATAGAGCATCTGTGGAGAATGAATAAGGTACTTATTGTGCCAATAGTACTTTCTTGCGCAGTTATTATAATGCATGAACTACATGAAAGTCTAGACATACTAGTGTTTTACAGCAGCACATATAGAGGACTGCCATATTAAATGCATGTACTGTACATAGTCAGGAAATTCTTAATCATAGATACACATACAGTATGCATTGCATGTAAACATAATAACAACATGTTCTGTAGTTATGTTGTGGTCTTAGTCCAGCATAGCATTAAGCACTTGTATATAATCCGAGTAGGATACAATCTATCAACACCACCTTAATAATAATAATAATAATAAAAAAATTGTATCAATTTTAAAACTTTTATGTTTTAAATTATTAATTTTAATCAGTTATCATACTATCAAATAATGTAATATTTAAGTTTAATACTAAATTTTAATTTATTATTTCAGATTTTGGCTCATTTAATGTAAAGAAAAGAACTTTTAATATGCTCTCAGATCAAATTACTCCTAAAGATGAAATAATTTGGTCAAAAAGTGAAATAAGTGAATCAGATGTAAACTGGAATACTACTGAAATATCATTTTCTACTTCATCTTCTGAAAATAATTTTCAAATTGTATTTGAAATGATCAAAGGAAAAGGACCTCAAGAATTTGTTGCCTTTGATGATGTAGTCTTGAAAAATAAATCATGTACAAGTAAGAATATTATATTATTTTAAAAAATAAAAAAAAGTAATAAAATGTTTCTTAATTATAAAGCAGGTAGTAAAATATAGTATGAAAACAGAAATAAGTGATGCCTTACCAATGTCAATATTTTAAAATATTTAACAGATGAAATTATAATTTCTGACTAAGTTTTTAAGTATATACATGTACTTTTTTTAAATTTTAAATAATACAATAACTTACAGGCGTGTATCTTTTATCTGATTATGGTAAATATAAGGTTAATGAAAAGACTAGTTAAAAAAACTCACATAACAAAAATTAATTCAAATTATTTTAAATCAGATAAATTCAGAATGTTAAGTAAAATTTAGTAAAATAACTTAACAGTATATTTGAATCTTATTTGGTTTATCTTTAGCTTCTTTATTATTAAACATCTAGTAACAGTTTTCTAGATTATTACAAAAATTCATTTACTTTATTTTCCACAGAGCATCTTTAGAAAAGAACTTTTGTATAAAAAATCTTGATCGAAAAAAATATAATTCTATTATAGAATTTTTATTTTAAGTATTAATAGTTTAATTTGCAGTTAATACCTAAAATATTATTCTGTGCTAGTAAAAGTATACATTGAAGTAACAGAAATTCTCTTCTTAAATCTATCACTCACATTCACTAGAAACAAGAAACAGTTTTCATTGACAGAGACTATGCCAGATTATAATTTGTTACTAACAATTTATTAGTTTACTGATCCATTTAGATCAATGTTTTTTTTAACGTGGAGTATATTTCTCCCATGTGGACGTTTTTCCATGTTGATGAGGCGATTAGTAACAATTTATATTTTGGGGGCGAAAAACAATTTTCTGGGCGATATAGTAAAACATTATATTAAGAATAATTGGATATTTTATTTGTTATATCGTACAATAATTAAACAAATAACATTATACTAGTCACTAGTCTATTCAATGCAGTATGAATTTGGCATTAGCCTTGGCCCTCAGCATCGGAATTTTGAAGTGAAGGGGGCAATACTACGTATCGGTTTTATTGAAGGGGGCGACAATTCGTTAGAGGTTGAGAAACACTAATTTAGATGAATCTTACTTGTTTGATTGAATCAGTTCCATGAAGTTAATTGTAGAATTGCTTTATATTTGCTTTGATTGAAACTAATTTGAACATTTGATCTTTAAGCATAAAATTAATTATACAAAAATAAAATTTTATTGCATTTATTTTGTTCTAAATTACAGTAGACCCCCCCATATAACACTGTAGATAATTCTGTGTTATATGAATTCCATGTTGTATGAGTCACTTAGATTTTACAAATACATGTGCCGGGCTGTGAACGGCTCACGTGTTTGTAAAATCTAAGTGACTCGTATGTGAACTGAGGGGGTAGAGCGGTGTGCTTCTCCCCACTTACCAGCTTTGTTGTCAGGGATGGCTTTGGTAAATGAGTGGGAGGGGTAGTGAAGTCGTGATGAGGTGTCAATCGTACGCAAAGATGAGATATTTATTATAACACAAATAATATAAATACATGATAGCACATCTTAAATTTAAACAGTAAGAAAGTAATAATGATAATATTTCCATGTCGCAACAATAACAGATGACCGATGTCCGTCTTTCTTGTTGGTGGGACTGCCGAAGGTCCTCGACCTACTATCTTCTAAGTCCTAGAAAAATAGTTATTGAATATTTTCTAAGTTCCGAGTATACTGAGAGAGAGGGAAGCTAAAATAATCTAAGTCTTTACCTCGTTTGTATTGGCAATCAGAAGCTTCGAAGTTCCAAAGGCAGAGGAGGCTGGAGGAGTTCGAATCCTGGCTTTTTTCCCCAACGATCACCTTGAGGTGTTGGAGCGTTCCCCTTTTATACCCATTTCTCGTGGGAAAAATCTGGGATTTCGTTGACGTAATAAATCTTCCGCGGGGGGTTTTTTCAGCGGTCACTTTGGACGACTCCGTCTGCACAGGAGGTCACCTTTCTAAGTGACGCAGTACAAGTCCTGGGGTTACAAGGTCTGATCCCCAGGCAAAGGGTGAAAACGGGAGAAATAATGGAAACAATGATGAAAGAAAAACTCTATATTACTTAAAATTCTCATAAGAGTCAGATTTTCACACGTACAACATGGAATTCATATAACACGAAATTATCTACAGTGTTATAGGGGGGTCTACTGTACAACAAATTAAAATAAATATATTAAATGTTGTTAATTTAAAATAATTAAACATATTTATGTTTATTTAGATGTGTTTTTGTCATTTCTAGATGTTTATCTAAATAATTTACTTAGTTATAAAAACATGATGTAAATAAATTCTGGAATTATATTTTGATAACTCAATAGTAGTTTAGATTCCAGATAGATTGCTCAATATAGTCTTCTAAATTATTAATCTTGTGGCTTTATCTTTATTAAAATGTTTGAAATATTTTGTTCATGCTAACTGTATTCAAATATTCAAATCTGTATTCACTGCAATGTTCATGTATAATGAATATTGTATATAAAATCATATTTCATAACTCATAGCCTGATAATTCAGCTGTTTGTTTGGTTTCATAACTCATCTTTACTCTGGACAAATGCCTCAAATTTTCTTATAACCTGGAATGCATCTCTACTTACTGATTGGCATTCTGTATATTTTTCATTTACTACAACATAGAACAAATAAGAATAGTATAAACAGTGAAAAAACATTTAAGAGGCTTATTTGGAATTTTTCTTTTACACTTTTATGTTTAACATATCCAAAAAACCTTAGAACAGCATTACTACAAGTTATATTCTGTAAAAACTGAAATTTGTTTGTTTACTTATTGAAAAAGAAATAAATGACAAAAGGAAAAACACCAAGAATATTTAATATTTATATGTGATTTAGGTTAATTTGTTTTTACTTAGTCTTTGTGAAATTACATTTTTTTTTTTAAATCAATTCTCTTTTTACTAAATTTTTATGAATCAAAATGAAATCTTCATTATTGTCAAGATATGTTTTATTCCATATTTTGAAACCATATCATATTTTTTATTTGTTTTATAAGAGCAATGTAGCGTAATAACGATCACTTGGCACGAAATTGAAATAAAGAAATAAATCGTGCCAAGTGATCGTTATTACGCTATATTGCGCTTATAAAACAAATATGTTTTATTGTTAATATTACTGATTAAAACATTTTGTATACAAATTTGAAAAATTAATATTTTTAACTATTATTTATTCCAGTTTCATCAACACTTTGGCCAACTACAAGTCTTCCAGAAAAACGTAAGTAATTTAAATTATAATTTTTTATAACAATTAGAAATAAAATATTAACAATGACAAAATTTCCAACTTAATTAAATTAAAATAAAAAGTAAATTAATAAAACTTTTTTCATATTAATTTGATTTATTTGAAATGTATAACTTTTAATTCTTGAAATATTTTAACTAAGTTATAAATGTTATATTGTTACAATCTGAATATTTAAACAAACACTGATTTATGAAGTTATTTAATTATTTAAGAATTTGGACAGAAAATAGGCATGTACTATCTGCTGATAACATTAATAATTAATACAGTTTTTGGAATAATTTCAATTGAATTAAGAAATGTCTAAAAAGTTACTTTAATTCATAGAATTTGACAATTCTTGTCTAATATGTAAGCACCTTGTCAATTATGCTGTCTTGATACATCATAAAATTGTACATTTATTAATTATTATTGTCATAAAAGATAGTTTAACAATATCCAAATTATTGTATTAAATAATTCAATTCTAACTCTAGACTTTTTAGAAAAATTGTTAATATTTAATATTGAATAATAATTTAATTCAAATGAAAAATAACAATAAAAATTGTTCAAAATTAAACTACATTGTTATTATTACAAATTATATTAAAATAATTTTTAATGCAACCAATAATTCATATTAAAAAATTCACTGTATTATCTGAAATTTCATATACATGTAATATATGAGATTTCAGAATTTAAAAATCACATTTCAATTATATCATATAACTTAAATTTTATGATCATTATTTTGGAATATGTAAATGAAAATGGAACAAATATTTATAATATATATGAGTGATTAAAAAGAAATTTTTTGGTGTAAAAAATTTTTGTGGCCATATTTGCCACCACAAGTTAAATCTAGAGTAACATTACGAGTTCAGTTAAAATTAATATTTGTCATGCATTAATTTTAGATGTAACTTGCCACTAGAGAGGTTGCAGTCGACGTTTTCAACACAAAAACGTGTATGTCGGGCGTTCAGCGCCGCCTTCCTGTGAGCCTAGAAGTTTGGAACGTCAGTGGAATCATGCTCGACGTTCCATACATCATTGTCAAACTNAACATTCCAATAGACAATATGCAAAGCTTTTTTTTCAGTTTACAGCAGTATTTATTACACAAAATTTAAGTAAAGCTTAACATGCCGATCTTGCCCCGATCTCCCCTATATCGAAACAGAAATAATCAAACAGAAAAGCAACTTGAAAATTATAGGGAAAGACATCGAATCAGAGAAAGATTGTGTAGAGGAAGAGAAACAGTCTTTTATGTAAAAAAAAAACTATCTTACATATAAATGTACGAACAAATAAAAACCCAGCGAAGCGGGTACTTGTAGCTAGTTAATTATAAAAATTAAGTAAATTCATTTAAGAACATGTGATTTCTAAAATGTCATGATTCTGTGAACTAGTATTACAATAATTAAATAATTTATTGGACATTTTAAGTAGAATATATTACAACTGTTTGTAATTTTTCTATTTTAAATTTAGAAGGGAAAAATGACTTTTTCTGCGATTTTGAAGATGGTACCACATGTAAATGGAAGAGTCAAAAAGTTACAGATAGTTTAATAGGATGGTGGACTGTAAAAAAGTCAAATACTTATCTACCAAAATTTGATCATACGAAAGGAAATTTTAAAGGTAAATTAATATTTTATTAGCAAATATTGCTGTTCTAAATTCGAATTTTTCTATATTTATAGTTTAAATGAACAGCATTGGTTTATTAATCACTGAATATACACTTTTGTTTATTTGACATGTTTATTATATAACAGGCGATAGTTGTTGTTGATTATGCATAATATGTATGAACATAAGTTTGGAAAAATGTTTCATCACAAGCGACACTAAGATGCTAGCAGAATGCGTGCTAAACTTCCCCTCTCCTGGTCATTTGTTATGCGAAACGTCAACTGCATTTGTTTTTTTATTTTCTAATAAAAATTTTTGTATTTTTCAACTAATACTAATAATACTATTGTCTTGAAATTACTATAGGTTTTTTATTTTTATCATTGGAATCATTGTGTGCTAAACTTTGAAATCATATGTTTATCATATGCATGACAATTCAGCAAACACATTGTGAAGCACTCAGACAAATCAAAGAGCTTGCACATAGCTCTTCACTTTAATTTGAGGATTTCATAATTGTGTTAGATTTAGTTGGTAAATATAAAAAGTAAAGAACTCTTAATGTAACACTATCAGCTTGAAATCTGGGGTTACAAAACACTTGGTTCAAAATCAAAATCAAATATTTAAATTAAGAAATTAAGATGATTAGTTTTGGTTAAGTGCAAGCTACAGATAAATAAAAAAATAATCTATGAATATCAAACATTAAAAAGATAGAACATAAAACAACTTTAAAAATACAAATGATTGAACGATTCAAATCATATTACACATTCCATGTGCTGGTTGAATATACAAATTAGTTCATATTTTAATGTATTTATTTTTAATAAATACATTAAAATATGAACTAATTTGTAAAAATAAATACAGTGGAATCTCGCTTAATGAGCATAATTTGTTCCAAAATCTTACTTGTTAAGCAAAACAATTTTTCCCATATAAATTAATATGAGGGGCTAGCCGGGGGTACGGAGTTGATAGAACTTGTGTACCACTTAATCGGCAGCTAATCGTGAGATTAGCCCACAGTCATCTTAAAGGATGGCTTTAAGTGTTTATAAGGATCTAGATAGTGAAATCAAGATCCACCTCAGGATGTTGACACCAGTTAAGGAAATTTAAAATACGTGCCCTAACTCGCGATTACTTCTAATAATAAATCTGTGACGTTCGAGTGACAACGTCTGAATAAATCATAGGAGGGTTAACCGTTGAGAGAGTGGGAAATGCAGGAGATCATTTGATACTAATAACAATAAATTTATTATAAACAAATTAAATGGATGAATACAATAAAATACAAACGATCAATAAAAATACAAATGATATGAGAATACATTATCTAGGCCTAACCTCATGGAGATACCAGACTATCTATCTTACAAACTGTACCTATCTCGTGGAGAGAGTTTACAATATTTCTAATGATTCATACTACCTTAACAATATGTTTCTTAGTTCATTAATGTTAGATACATATGCGGAGGATCTAATAGAACCAGTAGTTTCATTGAACAGGGCGTAGTGTGACCAATTCAAACTGTAAAATATGCATGGCGAATTCTCTTCCAGGAACTGCAATTTCTGTGGCAATTACTTCTTATGGAGAACTGCCTGGAATAGCGGGAAACTCCCTTTTTATAGCGGCTTCCTCAGGCGACCAAGTAACGTGTGCAAAGGCCGCATCTGAATCATCCTGTGAGTTGCCATAGAAAGGAAGTTCAACTTTCCTTCATGAGGAAGTGAGCTACAGCAGTTTCCTTTCTTTGTAAAATTTTTCTCTGAATATTTTTATACAATAAAATATTTTAAAAATTTTATAATAATTAAAAATAAACGATCCCACGGATCTCACACTAATATAAAATACAATAATGCATTAATGCTGAAAAAATACTCAAATATATTATGTATAAAGTTTATTCAAAGAAAATTATATGATATACATTGTTAAGGAGAGTGAATCATCTTCATCTTTTCTTCTAGGGTGGAATGAACTAACCTGGAATGTGAATTTGATTTGCAGAAAACAAAAAAAAAAATCAAAAAAATTTGTCTCATAAACAGCCAAGCAATATGCTAAATTCTTGGGCTATGTAAAGGTTATAATTAAATACTAGAAATTAATTAATTTGACTAGAGGTAGGAAGTTATGCTGCCATCTCATATTAAATTTAATAATTATAAATAGCTCATTTTTAATTCAGACATTTCTAAAATTTAATTTTGAATTGATCATTAAATTTAATATAAGATGGCAGCATATAACTGCCTACCTCTAGTCAAATTAATTAATTTCTAATATTTAATTATAGCCTTTACATAGCCCAATTTGGCATATCATTTGACATGTTTATTATATAACAGGCGATAGTTGTTGTTGATTATGCATAATATGTATGAACATAAGTTTGGAAAAATGTTTCATCACAAGCGACACTAAGATGCTAGCAGAATGCGTGCTAAACTTCCCCTCTCCTGGTCATTTGTTATGCGAAACGTCACTCATATACTCAGCTTTATTTATATTATACTATATTATACTCAGCTTTTTTTGTTTGCTTATTAAAAAAAACTACAGAAACCTGTCAAAAATTTTTAATTTTTGGTTTTTACCCTTATAAAGTAAAAATTACATAGAGTATTTTAGATATATTTTTTATGTATACTTTCTACATTTTATTCAACAAGTTTTAAATGGATATAAACAATATATGTGGTAATTTTAAAATTCTTAATAATTTAATTGATGTTTAAAAGATTTTAGAAAAACACTAAAACTAGAAATATAATTCAGTTCAGTCAAAAATTAATTATATGTACAGTACAATATTTAATATAGTAGCAATTTTTATTGTAAATAGTCTGTAAACAAACAATAGTCTGAGCAGGTGACAAAACTGGATTATCCAAAATAAACAAATAAACTAAACCTTGATAAATCCAGCTACAAATTTATTGAAATAAAAACGTTTACAATCAGATTTTACTGATCTTCTTCAATTAGAAGCTTTTCAAATTCTTTAAAATGTATAATTACAAATTCAAAATACTGAAGTTCCAAATATGAAAATTTTAAGAATTAATAAATTAAAATGTAATAATAATAAATAATGCTTCAAGCCCACAGCTTTAATTTAGATTAAATTAGTTATCGAACATTTTTAAAAATTCGTAAGATATAATTCCGAATAAAATGATCATAAATTACATTTCATAAAATGTATATTTTTCTATATGTTTTCTACATCTCTATGTTGATGCAGTGTGATGTTTTGTGTGCTTTATATATTTATAATTTTTCTAGAAACCCAATGCTGCGTAAGTTAGAAGTGGGCCTAATGATCCATTTGAACGTGTACGTCATTATTATGTGAATAAGCTGTTACTGAGGTTTTTTTTATAGCTTCTTATTTATGTTCCTTGACTCTCTGTTGTAAATTACAAAGTGTGGCTTCTATGTAGACTAGCCTTGAATTGAAATGATAGTTGTTGACTGGGATGGAGTAAATCCCAGTGGCTGAGTCAATATTTGCGCAGTGAGTGTACGCCCTTTTTATCAAGGATCTGAAGGCAGAAAGTTCAATGTGTCTGGGGTCTACAGAACTGTGTGAGATTAAAATGGGTTGAAAGGTATGTTTTCTGTAGATACTAGTGAAGATTTCTCTGAATCTGTATGTTATGGGAATGCCCAGAAAACAGAAAATGTACTCTTGTTTCACTTTTCTGATCTAATTGTATAGGGGTTGTTATTGATGTTCTCCAAAAATTGCAATAGGTTGGGCTTCCTTCTCCACAAGATAAATATATCATTCATGTGTCTGGTGTACAAGATGATCAAGTTCTGGAACTTGAGCAGAAAGATGTTCTCAATGTGTTGTAACACAAACTCATATAAAATTGCTGATGTAGGGCTTCCCATAGGTACATCTCTTCCTTATAGATAGATTTTATCATTAAATTCAAAGGATGATGTGTAACAAATTAAATTCACTAGCTCGATTATGTCCTTGTGGTGTTTATATGCTTCCTTGGTGTTGGAAAAGAGGAAATCCATTATTGCTCAAAAACACAGAGGTATTCTTATAGACAGATATAAGGATTGGAAGTCCAATACTGTCGTATATTCTTCATTGATAACCAAAATGGATTTAAGACATTCTATTACTTGCAGAGAATTGCTGATGGAAAAAGGATGGTAAGTTGCTTTTGCTCAATGGAATTTCACAAGTTGTTTTCAACTAAAAATGTTGGAGAACTGCACTTTTCAATTACTGGAATTTGGTTTCTCTGTTTATGGGTCTTAGCAAAATTTCAAGGTATTTTCATTGAGCAGATCACCATATGTAGAAGGTCCACCAAGGGAGTGAAAGCAAATTTTATGAACCTGCCATTATGACAATGTTTGTTCTTTTATTATTTGTATATTCAATTATTAGAAGAAACTGTACATTTGCTTTATACAGTGCAATCATAAAGCCCCTATGCAGTGGGCCATGCTTATGTGGCTTGGCTGAGTGGTGACTTCATAACTTACTTTACGTTTTTCAATTCATAGTCTGCCTGTGATGTCATTTCCTGGGTGGGAGAAGTGCTTCCAGGCACTACTCCCACCCACCGTGCTGGACTTTATGATTGCACTGTATTACCAAAATTAGTTATATTTTCAAATCAAAATCAATAAAGAACATAAAATATTTTAAATCATTGAATAAAATATTGTAAGCATAAGTAATGACTAAGCTAGCCAGATGGCCAAGGTAGTTAAGGCATCAACCATTGGGGATCTGCAATCAAATCCAGGCAGGTCAAAAAATCTTGTTCTTGTTTCACAGTTAAGAAGGGCTATCTTTTTAGCTAGGACTTTGCCCTGTAAGAATATGAAAGAAGAGTTTAGGAGAGTTGATGATTAGGAGGAAGAGGAAATAAAGATAGATAGAACAGTGTGAAATAAGAGATAGCCCAGAGCCCCTCCATGGGAACCCATGAGCACCGCCTCGCATTTATTAAAATCGGAAAACAAATAGATTTGAACATATATACATATATACAAAGCGTTAACAATGTTTATACTCCATCTTTGGGAGAGCCACTCGGTGGATTGCGAGCGTTACTCTCCTTAATAAATTTGATGATGGCTTTCATCAAATTTTTGTTGTTGATGAAATTGTGCTCACCGGGAGGCCAATTGAAACCTTCCTTGAGACAAGACCCCATCAGTTTTAGTCTTTGGTCTCTGTATTTGGTGCAATCGTAGATCAGATGTTCTATGGTGTCTTCAGAATTTATGTCGACGTCGCACTTGTTGGAGTTTTTCTTCCTGAAGCGTTCTAAGTAGGCATTGAATGCCCCATGTCTAGTGAGACATTATGTGAGTTCGTAGCAGACTCAGGAATTTTTCAGGAGGTGGTTTGTCTATTTATCCCAGATATGTTTGGCCCCATACTTCACTATTCAGATACCAAACCCCTGATGGGCTTGATAAATGGCCTTTTAATGCTTATAGAATGGAGAATAAAAAAAGTAATGACTAAGTTATATTTTTTTATACAAAAATATTTTCATAATTGATTAATTATAAATCTTATCAATAACAGTCTAAATATTAATGTAAGCAATTTAAAAACGTTGAATTTTTATAAGCATTGTTCATATTGAGATAAACAAGGTTGCCATATCTCCAATAACATTTTCAAGTTTTATGAAAAATCAACAAAAGTTTTATCATTCCAAAACAGTTTAATTTATTTCTTATTTAATAAATAAATTTTTAAATTTACTAATTAAGAGTAAAATATAAGAGTAATTGGTTACTACTTGTATTAATAAAAATCTTTTATTTTAATAAAATTCTATTGTATTTAAATTAGGTCGCTTTACCTATGCAGAAGCTAAAACATCTGGAGGATCAGCTAGGCTTCTTAGCCCTGAAACACCTTCAAAATGGTTAACTGCATGCTTTACCTTTTGGTTTTATATGAACACTGACAACCGTGGAAAGTAAGATAATTATTATTATCATTATTTTTATTTTAATTTTGTGTGGATAACCTGCAAGTTATCTGTGTTTAAAAGGCAATTTGAAAAGGCATGCTTGTTATGTAACTGAGCATGTTATATATCAGCATTAAATTGTAATCCATCAAACAGCTTTTTCTTTGTCTAAAATCAGTAAGAACATCTTTAGAAAACATGGAAAAACCTATGTGTTACAGACATTCATCTGTCATCGTAATTATTTCTGAATCACCAAATAAATATATCTCACCCTTAGTTCACTTTATTCATTTTTGTTTATTTACTCCATACTTTAATTGATGTTATTAGACATTCTTATTACAATTTGTATCTTGAAAGCTGATTAATTTGTAGTAATTATTCTTATTTCCGTAATTATCTCATTTCACAGAACTTTGATGATTAAGACACAACAACACGTTAATTGTCATCCTAATAAGGTATAAATTCGTAATTGTAAAATGAATATCAATGACTTGTTTCTACAATATTGAGTTTGACTGTGCAATGTTTAGTTTCATTTTTCGTGCAACTGCATTAATTTCTATGGTTTTGCTAACAAGATTGAAACTAAAGATGATATTTTTGGTTTATTTGCTTTATTTTTTAAACTGTACAGTATAGAAATTTGTTTTATATCNACATTTAAATAACTTTTGATTTAGAAAACAGTAGTAAAATTAATTTTTATATAATGTTTCTAAATAATAATTGGATGAATGAAACAGGATTTCAGCATTTTATTTGATGATCTGATCTTTACAATTCATGAAATCTTTACAATATGAGGAAGCACATCTTTGTTTGAACAAGTTGGCTGCTAAAAGATAAAATTTTATCATATTGCTTTATATTATTGGCGTATGTATGCTCATTTCATTGTTCTTGTTTTGCAAAATTGTAGTGAGAATCAAATTTATTCTGTAAAAATAAATCTTTTCTTTTTTCTAGTAAACGTCTGTCTGAACTAACCTTAAAGTTCTTTACAGTAAAGAAGAATCAACTTTTTAATTTGTGTCACTGGATATTACAGACATTAAAATTAATTCCTGTTTAATTCTTTAGGAATTTGTTTTAACAATTATTATTTGATAAATAAAACAACGGGAGTAATACAATGAAAAAAAATTGTTGTTTATTAGGCATTTGCATCTCCCAAACATGAAGTTTAGGAGGTTCTTTTTCAGTATACCGATTTTTTTACTTTGTTTTTTTTTATTTATATCTACAATTAAGTGTAATATAAAAATGTTTTAATGTTTGAGATGGTACCATCCAAACTACATATCAGTAAACATTACTCTTTCAATTGCTATTGCAGAAGCACAGGATATATGATAGACTGGTTTATATTAAGGTTCTGCCCTATCAATTTTCTGTGGGTCAAAATAAACTGTTAAATATTATATACTGCCTTGGGATTATCCACACAAAATTATTGTATTAGTAATTGCATTTATACATAAATTTTAAAAAAATTGTACATTAAAATACATGTATAGAATTATATTTTATTTAAATGTAATTTTACAGTATATATGTTATAATTCTAAACATTAAGAATTTTATTGAAAATTATTGTTATAATTTTGCTAATTAAACTATTTAAAATAATGCAATAATTTGACATTACAGATAAATAAATGCATTATCATTCTGTTAATCATTTTAATTATTTTGAAGTAAAAGTAATTTTATTGAATTATTCTTAGGAGAGACGACAACAGTGACGTAAAGTAGAATATCTATTCTAAATTATTGTACTGTCAGAATCATTTATTATAAATTTATTCACTTAAGTAAATCTAAGTTATTATATCATACATTATTTTGACAAAAATTATTAATCTGTGTAGTTTAAAAAAGTATCTGTAGAAAGTATCTAAGAGATACAGGGAGTTTCATAAGTCTAGTCCCATAGAACTATGTTGATGTTTGTTTACAGGTGAAGCGTGGAGCTGAGTAAAAAGGATTGAATTCAAGTTATTTTGATGACGAGGATCTTAGTAAAAAGTCACCAAAAAGTTTAAAAGTCCCAAAAGTCTACATCCAGACTGTTTGACTCAGTCTGGATGTAGACTTTTGGGACACTAAATGTGCATGCGTTCCAAGACATTCAAATATCGAAAAATACGACGAGTTTCAAAATGCGCATATTTTCCAATTTAAATCTGATAGTAAAATTAAATGCTGTGTCCTAAATCAAATACCTTTCAAATAGAGTTCGGAATTTAACGGCCAGCTTGTAACGAATATACATAGAAGCCCAAGGAAGAGCCCAGAAGGGGTGTCAAAAACGTTTGCAATAATAGAACATAAACACTCTGGTTATTTGATTAAAGTAAATCAATATATATTCAACCTGGTGTGTTGGGGAGTCAAGTATAATGATGTTTTATCGCTTTAAAATTTTTCAAAAAATATTGAAATATTTAATTGTGACTAGAAACTGATCATACAATCTAAATGAATGATGGTTATTTGTAATGTTTTCAAGAAAAGTATTTAAATTATTATTCTTAACAATATTAGTATATTGTTTATTTATTAACCCAAAGAAGATATGTAAATCTTAAATTATTTCTAAGATCAAATACAGAGAATACAGTTTTCAAGCATGATCTTGATGCGGGATAAATAAAATAAAAATATAAATTTTAATTCTAGTACAATAGTAAAAATAGGTTAGGGAATAAAAATTTAATACATACAAATGATAAGAAATAACATAAAGGCATTTATCTTTCTATTCTTCCTCTACTAAGTATCATTGGTTACCTGAAATTGTCTAGCCCAATTATATTTCAGCTAACTGTACAGTTATTTCTGAAGATTTACAAACTTTTATCAGATGAACAGATTAACTTTTCAATAAATAAGCTAAAACAACTTTTATATGAACTTTTTTATTTACAAAAAAATTTGAAATTAAAACTAATATAATAAAATTAAACTGATATTTAAATAATTTTGATTGTTTCAGCTTATCATTTAGAGCTCAGTATAGAAAAGACGTATCCAAGGATTTCACTGTTTTATGGCGAAGTACCGATGAATATGGAGAAAGTTGGCAATATGCACAAGTATCAGTTTTACGAATGGTTAAAAAATATAAGGTAAAAATTTTCTTTCAGAGATTGATTCTTCAAAACTTCAAAATATTTTTCAATACAGAACAAATAATAATACAAGATAATTAAAAACATTTTAATTAAGTAATTATTTGACGTAAATTGTTTATGTAATTAGTAAATAGTGTAGATTTTTATTTCACAGTTCAATTAATATATTAAAAATTATTCATTCAAAAACTGCTTTTCTAGCATTTACATTTTTATTATCTTAGCAATTTCGGGTTCCTTCAACCCATCTTCAGGGACATTAACAGTCAAATTAAAAAAGTCATATTCATTAAAAATTATACCTCGAGTATTCAGTTGAAAAATAATAACATTTTGGTTTGACACACAGCATGTTCTAAAAGAAAAATTGTTGTACTTACCTTCTAAACTTTTTTAAAAAATAATCATTCTTCCGGTGATAAATTCCAACAGTATTTTTATTATAGTAGGACCCCCAATTATCTGAGCCCTGATTAAGTTAGGTTTCACGCTATCTGAGACAAACCTGTAAATAAATGCGTTACCTTTCTTATACTGTAATTCATAAAAGAAATCATTGTGCCAGTATACAAACATAAATAACAACAACAACAACATCATAAAAGAAATGTTAAAATGATAACATATATTACAAAATGATTTGTTTCTATTGCCTTTTATTATTTAATTTAAATGTGAGACAAATCATTCAAATTAAAAACTAAAATAATACACATTTTTATTCTTAAAACTATTGGACATATTAGTTATAAAATAAATAATGTAAAAGTTATTGTTCTTATAAATCTTCTAACCCCAATATCCCTTCCATATTCACCCTCATATATACATTAATTTCCTTTCACTCAATTGTGGCTTGTTGAGCCTTGTTGGAAGGGGGAGAAATCGTCATTCGAGGAGAAGAGCTGGGAAGGAGAAGACATAGATATCAGCGAATATGGAAAGAAGACCCCTCTGGACCAACAGACTCGAGGTTAAAATTTTTGCCAGTCACCCTTTTTGACCCTTTTCTTTTTCTATCAAAAATTCTATTCTTATCAATCTCATCTTGATCAAGGGTCCTTTTTTCCTGTGTATATTTTTTAAGTTATAGTTAGGATAGACGTAAGTTAGAATAAGTTCTTTGTTTTGTTGGCACGTGCAAATCAGCCGGTTGCATTGTTACAGTTGGTCACGAGGATTTCTATGTATTTTTAGTTAATAAGTTTGTATAATTGTTTTTCGGAAAACTTTGGTCTTAATTGTAAATAAAAAAAAAATCTTCTTTTATTGATGCTGAGTGATCTTAGGATTCTGTTATTTGCTCTCAGCTATACTCTCAATCATTTATTTTCCTGCATTAAATTAATTATCACAGTTATCATTATTTGAGATCACGTACATAGGAGTTCAGGAGTTAGTCCTTCACATTTGGCACTTCAGACAAAAAAATATTACTATGTTAATATATTGTTTATAATTTATATCCTTTTCAGTTCCTCTTTAGTTAACTGCATTGTGTTACTCTATATACCACACTGTTTTAAACATCATACACATGGGTTTGATTTTTTTTAAATCTTCATAAATGAGGTCTTTTCTGCCCACTTGGAATTTCCCTCTTAACTTTTCTATCATTTTTTCATTCTTCTATTTAACATGTACATTTTTATCATATCCTTCCTGCATTAGAGCTGTCATCATGTTATTCATTCTCAAATCTCTTAATGCTCTCTCAATCTTTCTCTGAGAGTTCTTCTTGTAGGGAGAAAGAAAGGGAAAATTACAGTTGAAAAGAGAGTGGTAGGAATACTATTGGTATTGGATGAGTTTAGAATGAAATAACCAACGATTGTCTGAAAGATTGGGCTAGAATTTGGCTAATTAAATGATTGATATAAAATGATTTGTCACTAGAGGTAGACGTTAGGCACCATCTCTTAACTAATTTTATAATTAATAATGATTTTAGTAGGAGAGGACAGTTTTTTTTACCTAAGATGGTATTTGTCATATATAGAGAAGAGTCTCATTTTAACAGATCGCTTGGGCCACCAAAAATTATCTATTGTTCTGAGAATCCATTATATCATGAACAACGAATTTCTCGCACATCCAGGAAAATATCCACTATTCAAAAAAATTCCCAGTTTTTAACCCCTGTATAACATGTTTTCACAGAATGACTGGCATGCTGGTCTATCCAGGGAGACCATGAAATCAGATATTTCTGTATTGTAAAAGATGGCATGCCAGCATTCCCCAGGATAAGCTGGCACGCTGGTTTAAGTGAGGTTATACACCCCTCTCTAAAGGGTGCATTAAAAAACATGAACGAGTTACTTACATCCTATAAAAACAAAGGAGTTTTTATTCTAAAACTGTGAAACTGTCAGCATTACATCAAAAACTATGATTATATGTTTAATTTTTTTTTTTGGTTGTCTTTCTAATGAATAAAACACTCGTGGAATTCCAAAAGTGCTTTATTATGTGTATTTTTTTGTTATTTGATTTAAAAAGGCAAAAATAAACATATTAAATTTAAGAAACTTACTGTAAATTATCTTGGCTTACACCATTAACATTGGCTTTGTGTAAAATTTGAGAGAAAGATGTTATTTTTAAGGTCAGGGTAGATGGTCAGTGTAGTCCACACTGATTAACTACTACTATTACTAACGTCAATAAGTCATTAATTGTTTTATCGTCTTGTAAATGAAAACTCTCTTCATGATTTGAAGTCGGTCAAATTATAATGTTATTATTTTATTTTACTTAGAAGAATGTTTTCTTTAACGTTTGATTAACAACTAGGTTTTGTTAGATCTGGTTAATTTTATATTTTAGTTGCAGTTTAACCAGTATGCTGGTAACCCTGGGGTTTCTGACATGCTGGTCTCCCGTTTTTATGCGGCATGCCAGTCATTCCGCAAAAATACAGTATAAGAAAATATCAATACTTGAAATGTTTGTAATGTACTTGTATATTATGCTGTATATGATCGTATATTATGCCATTTGTGTATATGACAAAGCTGATGAAAACTGTACATACTGTACAGTTTTCATCAGCTTTGTACTGTACAGTTACATACAGCTTTGTACAGTTTACTGTAAGCATAAAAAGAGGCAAATTACATATGCTTATTAGCACTTTGCTTCTTGATTTGTTAAAAACCTCATCTATCTTGGTATCTTTTGATGCAACTTTTTTGTCTATTGAATACAACATTGTTTATTAGCAATGTCATGTACAGTACAATATAACCTGTTCATGTATGCCAAAGCTCTCCAGGAAGATCTTTACAACTTGGAAATACTCGATGGCCTCGCTAAATTTTGGCACTATAAGTGACAGTGTTCACTAAGTGACTCCTACAGGAGCAGATCTACATAAGGACTAATAGGGCTTAAGCCCTGGGCCCTAAGTGTCAAGGGCCCACAAAAATTGAATTATTATCATAAAATTTTAATACTTTTTCTGATAAAGTTTGTCATTTAACACCATTTCATAAATAAATATATTTTAACTCTGATTTTGATGTTATTAAAAATGAATTTTAAACCCCAATTTAAAGATTCTTAATCTAACAAAAAATGGGGTCCCATTGGCCTTCAATAAGCCCTAAGCTCCGAGAAACCTAGATCTACCTCTGCCTTCTCAATCATATCAGCTGGCTGACTCTCTTTGTACAATTCTTCAATTGTACATATCCCAAATCTAACAAGTGCATCATCAAACTCTAAAAACTTCCAGAAACACATATATGTTGAAAAAAACATCGACTAACTCACAGGGCTGTGGAGTTGGAGTCGGAGTCGTGGAGTTTTGGTGTTTTAGCCGGAGTCGGAGTCGTCAAAAAATCCGCCGACTCTGACTTCCTTTTACTTACCAACTTGTTATGTATATGAAACGGAGTCAGAGTTGGATGGTAAGGAAAAGCCAGAGTTGGAGTCGGTAGATTTTTACGCGACTCCACAGCCCTACTAACTCATTTACTAAATGTTGAAAAAAACGTGAAGTTTGCAATAGATTTGGGGTAGAAAAAATCTGTTATTCTGAGTAATGGATCTACTAAAAGGAAGTAAAATTACATTGATTAGGTGGGATCTGGAAAAAATCTATTATTCCAAGAAATTCGTTTTTCCGCAATCTGATAAATCAAAATTCTACTGTACATTGTTATTTTCTGACATTATTGAGGTGTGATTTTTATTGAATTTTTGACTGTTAATGTGCCTGGAGATGAGTTATAGAAACCTGAAAGTGCTATGATAATGAAGATGTAAACAACAGAAGAGCAAGTTTTTGGATGAATAATTTTTAATAGAGTTCATGTATGTTTAATTTTAAAAATTAACAATTTTTATTCATTCTAAGCCAGAAATTATTAGAATATTGTGAAATCGCAATTTATTTGTGAAGAAATCTTCATAAGTGAATGCAGATTTAGTTAAACAGGAAAAAAAAACTGTCTTTTAGCATTACATTAATAAATAAAAACACAATATGATAACAAAAAGCAAGAAATTTCAGTAAATGAATTTACCATCCTTAGGAAAAAGATAAAACAAATAACTAAAATTTAAAAAATCTTTTAAAAGTTTAATTTTATATTCTATATATCAACATTCTAAAATTGTACTAAATTTCAAAGTTCTAAGCTTAATGTAGGTACAGTACCTAAACATTTATACTTAACTCCATTTTTTATTCTATCATTTGTCTTGTTATTGCAAATTGTAGGTTAAATATTATAATAAATAAATTAATTGCTGACCTAAAAATAACTGGAAAAATTTCATCGAGAATTGTGTATATAATTGAATGGCTCAGATGAAAAAGGTGATAAGCCACACAAAGAATAATTTAAGAAATATCATATTTAAATCTTTAAACAAATTCTGAAATCAGTACATTTGATAATAAAATGCCAGTTTTGATATAAATTAGTTTTTTTATCATCAAACATTTCAGGTCACATGAGTATAAAATATGTTTTATACAGTAATACCTCGACTTACGCGAACCTAGAGTTATGCAAATTTCAAATCTCGTTGCTTCATCTTTTGTTNCGAGTTGGATTTTACACAAATTGTGAAATTATACCCCAACTTACGCAGTCATCGCTTGGTCCCACCTATCGCGTAAGTTCAGGGTATTACTGTATAGTTTTTTATAATTTGATTTTAAAACTACTACAATGAATTTTGTTTTAAACTTGTATATAATCTTATTTTAGGTTGATTTTATTGCTAATTTAATGGTTGGAGTTATTGCTTTAGATGATCTAAATGCTATAAATGGCAGTTGTCCAACTCAAAGTAAGTTTATTTTTAAAAATCTGATACTCTATTTAAAAAATCAAAAGCATTAAATAATAAATAAGATAATTAATACATCTTGACACTATTGCAGACTAATTATAATTTATTACTTGTTGGACTGGAATTTCAAATTGCAGATCTATATACTTCCAGTATTTTCTGTCTGTCTGTCCTTTGTTAATATGAAGAACAGAGTTAGATAGATGAAAATTGAGACCGGATTTGTGCCAGAGGTCCCAATTATGATAACTATATATGAACTTTTAGTCTTTATCAGAAGTCATATGATATTTTAAATTAAACGATGATTAAAAATTGCAGCCTGGCATTGTGACTATGTCACAGTAAACAATTGCTCATTCTAATACTGTTATTTATACATTTATTTAACTATACTACTAGCAACTAATAGCTATTAAATTTTTTAAATAATATTAATGCATTCTATTAAAATCCTTATTATATTATGTTTTTTATTATAACTATTTTTCAATAAATATTGCAATTTAATTATTTTATATTAGTGAAAAATTAAAAACAGTAATGGTTATTTTTTTCTCTTGATTGGTGATGACATGTAATTCATTCAAACAATATAAAATGAACATTTTTAATATGGGAAATTAAATAATTTGGGATTCAATTAAACAAGATAGTGTTAATTCAGTATCATTACGTAGGATGAGTCAAAAGTCAGGAACCTACCAAATATTTAAAAATGCTTAACGTTAACTAAATCTAACTATTATTATTATGCATTATACTGATGAGTGTACTTATAACATGATACTTTATCACATAACATCTTGAAAGCTGCTATCTTCAATGTTTCTTAAATTATCAAACGAAAAATCAGTGCTATAACCACTCTAATTCGTGGAAGAATGTCTGAAAAAGTAATAGTGAAATCCATGGCCTCCACATCCTACAGTGGGGCCCCCAAATCAGGATCGTTGGCGAGCCTCCCCCACTCGAACCTGAGACTTCAGTAGTGTGAGGTAAGGGACCCAACTACTCAGCCTTTGCAGCTGCTTTGGGATGTGATAAGGCATCTAAATGACAAAAATTATTATTTTCATTTGCAAATTAAGCATACATTTACAAAAACATAATTAGATTTATTAGAGACAAAAGCAGAATTACACCAACAAATTTTATGATGACGAACAACATTAAAAACAAAATAGACAACACAAGAACTGAAATAATGACAGAAATTGAAAAAGAAAGCACATCAACAAGACAAAACCCAATAACCTATCAATTAAATTATTTCGTAATAAATTTTCTGGCTTTTGCCGAAGCAAATTTTCAATCATGTCACTAAAATTTGTTTGTTTAACTAAATCATTTTCAATGCACAAAATTGCTAGGTTATTTAGTTGCACCTGAACAGTTGAGTTTCTTTGCCACGTCTTCAGTGAATTTGCCAGTTTACTGAAAACCTCTCAGCTGAAGAAACAGTTATCAGCACTGTACAAAACAGCTTAATTTCGAGACTAGTATTGGTAAATAAACCCTGAAGTTTTTTATTGTAAATTGCACTCAGAATTCCAATTTGGCTTTTTTTGCAGGTAATTTTTATACTTTTATGATTGTTATATTAAGTTAATAATAGTAGTTTAGAATATTAATTAAACTATGTCAAGAATTAAATATTCCAATTAAATTGAACTCAATATTCCACAAGAAAATCCAAGCAAAGCAAAAAATACAAGCTGGCCATCTTCATACCGGACCCTGATGAACCCTGGGCCCCCTGACTNTTTTTTCTCTTGATTGGTGATGACATGTAATTCATTCAAACAATATAAAATGAACATTTTTAATATGGGAAATTAAATAATTTGGGATTCAATTAAACAAGATAGTGTTAATTCAGTATCATTACGTAGGATGAGTCAAAAGTCAGGAACCTACCAAATATTTTAAAATGCTTAACGTTAACTAAATCTAACTATTATCATTATGCATTATACTGATGGGTGTACTTATAACATGATACTTTATCACATAACATCTTGAAAGCTGCTATCTTCAATGTTTCTTAAATTATCAAACGAAAAATCAGTGCTATAACCACTCTAATTCATGGAATTAGAGTGGTTATAGCACTGATTGTCTGAAAAAGTAATAGTGAAATCCATGGCCTTCACATCCTACAGTGGGGCCCCCAAATCAGGATCGTTGGCGAGCCTCTCCCACTCAAACCTGAGACTTCAGTAGTGTGAGGTAAGGGACCCAACTACTCAGCCTTTGCAGCTGCTTTGGGATGTGATAAGGCATCTAAATGACAAAAATTATTATTTTCATTTGCAAATTAAGCATACATTTACAAAAACATAATTAGATTTATTAGAGACAAAAGCAGAATTACACCAACAAATTTTATGATGACGAACAACATTAAAAACAAAATAGACAACACAAGAACTGAAATAATGACAGAAATTGAAAAAGAAAGCACATCAACAAGACAAAACCCAATAACCTATCAATTAAATTATTTCGTAATAAATTTTCTGGCTTTTGCCGAAGCAAATTTTCAATCATGTCACTAAAATTTGTTTGTTTAACTAAATCATTTTCAATGCACAAAATTGCTAGGTTATTTAGTTGCTCCTGAACAGTTGAGTTTCTTTGCCACGTCTTCAGTGAATTTGCCAGTTTACTGAAAACCTCTCAGCTGAAGAAACAGTTACTGGCACTGTACAAAACAGCTTAATTGCGAGACTAGTATTGGTAAATAAACCCTGAAGATTTTTATTGTAAATTGCACTCAGAATTCCAATTTGGCTTTTTTTTTGCAGGTAATTTTTATACTTTTATATTGTTATATTAAGTTAATAATAGTAGCTTGGAATATTAATTAAACTATGTCAAGAATTAAATATTCCAATTAAATTAAACTCAATATTTCACAAGAAAATCCAAGCAAAGCAAAAAATACAAGCTGGCCGTCTTCATACCGGACCCTGATGAACCCTGGGCCCCCTGACTAGGGTCCAGTCAGTCACTACCACGTGGGGGCCCTGGTGAAATCCATTCTAAATATCATTATTCATTTTGAAATTATACTGCTACATAAACAAATATATCTCAGGCATAAACAGACAATTTACAAAATGTACTCATTATGTTATTCATTTTCAACAAGGCACAGTTATGGATATCGTTTTTCAGTTAGATTGAATGTGGTGTAGCATATCTAGTGTAATGCTAGTACAAGCATTGATAATGCCATCACTATAAAACTGTGAATGACAAAGACAATATTGATAAAGATATATACATGAAAGCATCCTATAGAACTTTTAACAAGTAATAATTTTAAAAAGAATAAAAATATTGCAAAATGGATTTTCGGACAGTCTCCACACGAATAATCATATAATTTCTTTCTATTTTAAATCTTTAAGTTGTTTTCAAGATGGTGCCAGGTAGGGCAGCATGTATCAGATACATTCGTTAATCTAATACAGAGGTCCGCGGGTCAGTTCTTCTGGTCCGCCACCACACTATGCCACAAATGAGCCAAAATATAATTATATATATGGAAATATAGATTGTAGATAAACTTACTATGTAGAAAAAATTAAAATAAATGTAAGTAAAAATGCCAAAATTGCTCCAATCTAACAGTGAAATAAAAATTCAGCAATTTTTTGCGACTTTGGGTATAAGAGAGCACTCTTTATATAAGTACCTGCAGTGACGTTTTTAAGAAAAGCGATTATCAGCTTGCTGCTGTGATCATGTTCGTGTATTGGTAAATAAATATGTTGGTTGCTTTAATTTTTTGCATATTCAGTATACTGTATTGAACAAAATGGTTATGCAACCTGTGCTTGTTATTCAGTTATGTGGCCTGCTGTGTAAAAAGTTGGTGACCCCTAATCTAATACACAGTAGTAATTATATTTTTCTAATATTACACATCTCAAAGGTATTTGGGTTGTTTTTGACTTTTAAATTCCTAATGTTTCAAGTAAAATTTACATATTTTTTATTCATGTAATCAAATTATTCAAAATAAACAAATAAAAATAAAATCTTTAAAACATTTATACCAAAACAAAAGTAACTATTACATATACCAAATGGACTGCCAGATTATTTATTGGATTGTAACAAGGTTTAAAATTATTTCCAATTTTACAATTGGAAATAAAGTAATTTGGTTATAGGTAGGCAGTTTTCTTCCAGAATATTCTAAATTTAAGTTAGAAAATTAAATTTATTTCTAATTATTTATCATTTAAATTTTAAATTTATCATTTGATGGCAGCCAAACCATGTACTTATAGCCAAATTATTTCTAACTATTAAATTAGCCTTGTTACAACCCAGTAAATAATCCAGCAGTTCATTCAGCATATTTTATAGAATCAGGTTAATGTTTGTCATAATATTAAAGTAACTATGAACAAACAACAACATTACAACCCGATACATTATGTGAGATTCAGCCGTGTTTATTAACCTACCGCCTGACCTAACTCGTGAACAATAATAAGTTTCTTTAGAAAGTATCAAATTTCACACCTGGGAGTTAATTACTCAGCCAGTTCTCAGTCGCGAAAAGACGCTTTCACATAACCTTCTGACCTATTATTGCTAACTGTCAAATGAAAATAGCGACAATCGGAGGTTTTCGACACAGTCGCTGCCGTTCCTCTAAAAGAAGCATCCACCAGACCCGTACAATACCTCCTATTTGGATTATTCCGTAACAACGAACTTAAGTGCCTATTTGGATTATACCGCAACAACGAACTTAAGTGCCTATTTGGATATTTCCGTAACCCAGAACTTGGAAGTGACATCGTCAACAGCGGTTTGAAGACCTCGATCCATAAGATAACCTGTCAGGTATTTATCGCCACGCGAATCATATGTAAACTCTCTCTCTCCGCGACCACACTTTATTCCATTTAAATTTTTAATAAACCCTTTGTTGATTGTTAAGGGTAGTTCGAGTCTCTTCCCTATGTTAACTCTGACCTGTCGAATCCGACTGTTCGCGTACGGGACCGCTCGCGCGACGGACGACGAAATCGCCGTCTCGGCTTCCGTGTTCCTCTAAACACGGTGGTGTCAATCCTGACTGGGCACTAAGGAGGTGCCGACCCGGGAGGTCACAATTATATTCTACCAGCCAGCCAATGCCGTAAGTTATCGGGCCTGATAACATATGGCATTGGCTGGCTGGTAGTTTAAAGTAACTATAATTATAACAATTGAGATTTTGCTTTTCTACGTACATAATTTAATCATAACCATTAAAATGAATTATTGTTTTATATTTTTGCTTATAAAAATTTGATAATATTTTTGAAGATGGATAAATTGTATTCTTCTGATGGAATATAATTATTTCATCAGAAGGATAGGTACATTAAAAACTGTTAATGGAGAAACTAACAACAGAAACCAGTCCGATATTTCACCCAAGTACTTTCAAGCTTCTTAGGCTCATCATTATGAACACTAAAATACAAAATTTCCAAATTTTATCAAATCAAAAAACATTCCAAACATTCAGTTCAAAAACATTACAGTTTACAAACTCCAATGGTGGTACATAGATGGTACATGCTCTCAAGGAGAGTATGTACTGTACCATCTTCTGGACTGTTTTCTTTTACTTAAAAAATATACTTCTACTGTAAATTTATTCAATTCAAACATAGAATATTTCTTATCTCATATTTTTTGCAATCTTCATGGTTCTCTTAGTTCAAGATTTAACAATACTTATTCTCTATTTCTTTCTGTTTTTTTCTCTCACTATCAATTTCTATACCTCTGATAATGCTTTCCCATAATGTTTTTAGATTGACTTGTTATGGACAATGCGATATTTGCTATCCCTTAATATTGAACATGAGTGTCCTTTAATTCTTGCTACACATCTAGATATTTATTAGCAGCATGCTTTGACCAAATCTATTGTACTACTATGATTTATTAGGAATTTGGAAATAATTGAAATGCAAAAGTCTAGCAGGAATGGCAAATACATCTATTTTAGAGATGTGGACAGTCTATCTATCATTTGGAAATTCTTGTATGAGATTCATAAACTCACATTGGGAAATGCATCTAATTTTGTTTTGAATAATGTGTTTGTTTTATGTTATTTGCATGAAAAATTCTATTTTTTCATAGTTTGTACCTTTATATTGTTTGCACATGATATTTCATATTTTTTAATCTTTATTATATAATATTCTGTTCTTATTCCATTTTCTTCCAAGTTTGAGCCTGATGAAGGTTCTTAAAAGCAATTTAAAATGTTTATAGCCATTAATTTTCTGTTGGATATTTAAAGGTTTAGCATTGTGCTTATTAATGTTGCTCAGTTATATACTTAACATAAATCACTGTTTTACATAGCAGTGGTATTGTGAGAACCGAGGAGGTTAGTTGTCCCCACTTACCGGCGGCTCTGTCAGAGGATGGCTTTATAGGAGGGCAAAATAAAATGAGTGGGGAGGTTAATGAGTGAGTTGACAGGTTCCCAAATAAATATACAGGTTGAACAAGAATAACACATTTAATAAACAATTATAAAATTGTACATACAAAAGGCGAAAGTGAAGAGTTACAAAAATTCTATTCTACGTCGCGATAATGATTCGTCTTTCATATGGAACATCTAATTTCTATTCTCTAAGTTAAATTAAGAGACGAGAGAGAGACTTCTCAGAGAGAGAGTATACGAATAGATATCTAAAAAAAATAACTCTAAGTTCCTGATCTGTAATATGGGTCATTGGTAAAAATGTTCCTGGATCGTCATGGCAGTTATGGCGAGGTAGCAACGGATAGGGCGGCGGGATGTGGCAGTCGATGTCCGCCTTGTGAACTGCGTCTAAGCCCTCTTTATACTATTTTTGAGGGGGCGAGAACCATGATATCATTAATGATTTATACGCACACCTGTTCGTGTGTTGATGTCTGGATCTAGCTAGTACGGACCACTGGCACAGAGAAGTTTGTTTAATTTATTGATATCAGTGTCTAGAAGATATGATAAGAAATTTCTATAGGTTTGACAGCTCTCATCCATAAATTAACATTCAGCTGACAATAATTTCTGTAAACTGATCAACAATCTAGATATTGTTTATATTAAATGTCACGTTTGACTACGAATGAGGCAATTTATTGCTGTAACCACGTGTCACGTGCAACCAAAGAGGGGGTAAGAAACATCTCTTATCCCCATCTTGTTGCTATTAACGTCTATAGAATTACCTTTAAACAAATGGAGGAGATTTCTTTTATTGATATACTAACAATTTTTTTCGAGGAGATCGTCTCGGTCATCGACCACAGAAGACCCCCTTTTTCTCTTTTCACCTAATCACAAGGTTTATTAGAGGGGTGATACTGTTCTAAAACAAAAGGGTTTTGGACCTTCACAGTATTATAGTCATGATAGAATATGTGAATTAAATCTTTAATTTGCTAAAAGCTGAAAAACCTTTCTAAAGAGTTATTAAAATTTATTTATTAATAAATACAAATTCAACTTTCATAAACTTATTTGATTAGTTAGAAAATAGTAGTCTGAAAATTATAAAATTGGATATTATTTGATTAAAATTAAATTATTCTGTAATTGTATAAAAATTTATGATTTATATTCATAAAATATTTTTTTAT